CGGACGGTTCGCCTTTCGCTCGCCCCCGATCAGCCACACGCTGGAGCGGACTGCCTCTGCCTCGCCGCCGGCGAAGAAGGCGTGGCAGGGCAAGGGCCGAGAGCGTGTGGGACATCTCCAGCCCTTTCCTGGGCGTCCTCGTGGCCACGACCGCGCGCGTGGACGAGCGCGGGCCGGGTTGCTGCCCGGGGCGCGGGCTGTGGGGGTGGAGCTCTTTGGGCAGGATGGTCGCGGCGCTGTGTCGCTGAGCTGTGCACTGCGGGGTGGGGAATGGGGGTGGCGCTGGGCTGGCGCGCGCCCTTGCGCGGAGGCGGACTCGGTCAAAGCCGAAGGGCCGCGCCGTCAGGTTCTTGCTCCCATCTGCGCCTCGAGCAGCGCGGTCACAAATCATGGGCACACGCCGATCGCTGGAAGCAGGCACTGTTGGATCCTCGGTTTCCGATCTACCCTCGCCGCCCTCCCTCTTCAAGAGTCGAGCGGCTGTCCCTCTTCTTCTCGCCTCTTCGGGGGGCGGGCGGAAGCCCAGTCTATTTCCAGCGCCTTCCTGCTGCATGGCTCTGCCTACTTCTTCCGATCGACGGGTACTGGGCAGGGGCGAACATGTCCCGAGCTCGCCGACGGGACGCGAACGCCCCTGCGGCCTCTCTCCAGAGGGCATATTTCGGGAAGCCTCTGCGCAGGCGAGCTCCCTCCTGGGAGGTCAAGCTCGGCATCGGTGCACGTGTCCACCCGTGGTCGAGAACGGGCCCAATATGGCAGAATCGACTACACTTCGGTCGGGCATGTCCTCCTACAGGCGGATGTTGGGCGGAAAAGGGAACATAGTTCAAACATATTCCAAAATAGTCAAATCGTCCCCGCTCTATGCTTTGGACTAATTTAGAATATTCCTCCTGCAGAGAGACATGCCCGACTGAAGACTACACGTAAGAGTGACCTTTTGCTGGAGTGACCTCTGGTGCGGGCCCTATGGGGCTCCCCGATCGCCGAATGCGAGGCCATCGCAGCGGCTTTCGCGCCCGGCGGTGTCCCCGAAGGCCCCCCTTGGGCGCGCACTGAAGTCGGGAGGTAAAAAAACACGCAGACTTAATTCATCGTCGATTCCCAGGACAATATGCGAAAATATGGGAAGTGGGGGGGAAGACAAAACCCATAATATATGGGGAAACATATGGGGAGTCCTGTTATTTGTGTCTATTTATTTGTGTGTCCCAGGGCCCCTTCATGAAGGTCACTCTTGCCTAGGGTCACCCTTGCGTGTAGCCCGCATAATTCGTCGCACTTCCGTTAAATCCCACCTACTCCTGCTGGGTCGGGCTGGAACTCAAGTAGTGGCGAAGCGTCCTGGCGTGCCTATAGGCCTACCAAACAATGTAATAATAACCTTGTGTGGTTTCCACGACATGTTCTTATAACATTTCTGGTTGGGACCGTCTTGTTTTAACACATCGGGCTTATGTTCTAAGAACACTGTTTTTCGTTATTCGAACATTCCGGGGATCTGAGAAAATGTCGTTGTAGGCCTATAGGAATGCCGGGACGGTCGGTCCTTGCTCAAGAAGCTTGGGCTGAATCAGGACGAATCCGGCTGCATGCCCCCTGAATCTGGGTTAATTGCCCATACTCCGAGTGAGATGATGATCGCCCCACCCACTTGGGTCAATGGGGAGGGTGGGGGGGCGCGGGGCATCAGAAAAGGTTTGGGGGGGGTAGGCTCGCGTTGAGAAGCTGGGGGTTGGGGACCTGGCAGGCTCCGTCGCAAGGCACCTCCTGCCCGATGATTGCCCCATCTGGAGTAACCGTTCTTACGAAGACCTCCCAAGCGTTGCCTCCCTCTACCAGCCCAGACATCCGATACCATGATTTTTGTTCAACACGGGGTCCCCAGAAGGCCCGACCCCTTCCCCAGGGCAGGTTGTTCGTCGTGAGTCGTGTTTTCTCGGCCTCTGGGGCCCAGCGAGGGCCCCCAGAGGCCGAAACTACGGAATCCCTTCGTCTTGCATGTCTGAGACGTTAGAGGCCTGGTGGGAAGGAGCCAGTTGAACAACAACACATTCGTGGTCTTGTGTGTATGTTTTTGTTTTTTTGCATGTTTGTTCCACCGCCTGTCTGTTCTGTCGTGTGTGTGTGTGCTTTTCCACCGCCCGTGTGTTTTGTTTTTACGGTGCTGGCCTCCCCCCTGCATCTTTACACGCCAGCCAATTCGCTAGTTGGTGCCCCTACCAAGCTGTTGCGCTTGTGCGGACTTCGCCGCCTCGCCGCTTACGAAAAGGTTGTTTGTTTTTTGTATGCTTTTTCCCTTCCGAGATCCCCTCTGGGCCTTCGCAGATGGCTGCCCCTCGTCCCCTCCTCGCCCTGCCTGTCGCCTCTTTTGGACAGAAAGTCACGGAAGCTTCCGCTTGCCCCGCGTCGCGTATATCCGTGAATCTTTCTTTCGGATGCCGGTCGGTACTCCACCTGCGGGTCCGGCCTGTATTCTGTGGTTGCCCATCCGTGGCCGCCTCCCTCCCGCTGGCACCCGCCCAGCGGTTTTTGCTTGGGTCTGCGTGTACTCCGGCAGGGTATCGGTCCGGCCCCACCTGCGGGTCCCCCCTGTGTTCGGTGGTTGCCCAATTGTGGCCGCCTCTCTTCCTAATTTGTTTTGCAGGTGCATTTCGCGCGTTCTCGCGCCAATTATCTTGCGCTGTGCCCCAGCCTCGGTCATACCGCCCTCTGGACTTCTCCTTGCGGGCCGCAAATCAAAAAGTATATCCGTGAATCACGCCCAACAGCGCCCAATAGCGCCCAATGGCACCCGAAGGGGGCCCAAATGGCGCCCAATAGCGCCCAACTGCGCCCAAATGGCACCCAAATGCCACCCAAACGGTGCCCCATAGCATCCAAACGGCGCTCAAAGTGGCGCTCACATGGGCGATGCGTCACGTCCGCTTTGCGCGCTGTTGGACGCGCTACACCCACCAGGCATCTTCAGGAAAAAACATGGATTCTCATGGACTCGTGATCTCGTTCAAGAAAATCACGACCCTAGACTGAACCCCTCGGCGTTTCCTCGGAGCTCGCTCCCTTCTTGTTCGTAGAACTTCCGTATATGTGGACCTGGACTACTGTTAAATCGGGCACGTCCCTCTACGGGAAGAATATTCGAAAGTAGTCACCAAATAGTTTGGGGACCATCTTTTGTGCATTGTTTGACCGTTTTGGAACCTTTGCTTCGTATGTTTTCTGTTTCGTCGAAAATCCCCCCTGTGTGGGGGGCACGCCCGACCTAAGACAACTGTTTAAGAGCGCCTCGGCGCGCGAGGCCTGGCGGGCCCTGCTGCCAGCCTACGCGGGCCTCCGCTTCGAGGCAAGGCCCAACGACTGGGGCTCTGAGCAGAACGCCTGGGTGATAGCCGCCCAGCTTGCGGGCGTCAGGCGCTGGGAGGAAAAAAGCTGCTCCTCCTCCTCCTCCTCCTCCTCTCTCCTCCTCCTCCTCCTCCTCCTCCTCCTCCTCCTCCTCCTCCTCCTCCTCCTCCTCCTCCTCCTCCTCCTCCTCCTCCCCCCCCAGCCCCCGACTCTTCGACGGAGAAGGGAGCCGCACAGGATAGGAGGGAACCCTGGGGTACACCTCAAGAGGGGGCCACTCGAACGCACCCTTCTCGAGGACGGACGCCCCCCATCGTGTACTCCAGGGTCGGGCCCAAGTTCCTGGTCCATTCGAAAACCCTACGAAGCCTGGGATCGGGGTCGGCAAATCCACTGTTGAAGCGGTTCCCGAGGGACGCGAGTCCGACGGCAGGACCTGGTATGAGAGTCTCCCAAACCAGCCCGGAAGGGATCCTCATCGTCGTCACTGTGACTGCGGAGGCTCCCTTCCCCGTCTAGTATCTGCGGGCCCTTGCCGACGCTTGCAGGTCTGATTGAGGATGGCCGCCCCGGACTGCTAACATGACGCGCGCGCCCCATGGGAGGGAAGGGGGCTCTCGCTCGAGGCTTCCCCGCGTCTCACTCGCGGGCGGGGCTCCCACTTCCTCGAGGCTTCAAGGCCCCTGGAGTCCAGGAGCGACGACGGCTGCAGGTGTTCCGATGGCGGCCTCGGATCGGTAACACGCATCGCGGGCCCCATGGGGAGCGGGTTCCCGCTTGATACCTCCTCCCGGTTCGCTCACAGACGAGGCTCCCACTTGAGACTTGCTCAACACTCAGGCAGCAGGAACCCCAAAGTGACGACTGTTACAGTAACCCCGATGGCCGCCTCGGGTTGGTAGCGTGAGTCGCAGGCACCATAGGGAAAGGGCTCCCGCTCGAGATCCCCTCGTGGTTCACTCACAGATGAGGCTCCCGTTGGAGACCTCCTCAAGATTCAGGTCCCTGGAGTCCATCAGTGACGACAGTTACGTCCAGGTTTTCCGATGGCGGCCTCGGATTGGTAGCATGAAGTGCGCGCCCCATATGGAGGGGGCTCCTGATCGAGACGTCCCCGATTCGCCCACAAGCGAAGCTCTTGCTCGAGACTTCCTTGAGATGAATGCGTGATCGGGCGCGTGTGTGAGTCTGCCCGGTAATGATGATGCTGCTTCTGATGATGCTGCTGGTCGTAATGATGTTGATGCTGATGAGGATGAGGATGAAGGTGAGGGTGAGGATGAGGATGATGACGATGACGATGCGCATGATGGTGATGACCATGCTGGTGACGATGCTGCTGGTGATGATGATGCTGCTGATGATGATGTTGATGGTGATGGTGATGGTGATGGTGCCAATAGCGATGATGCGTATGCAGATGGTGCTGATGATGATGATGATGATGATGTTGATGTTGATGTTGATGATGATGGTGACGATGATGGTGGTGATGATGCTGGTGATGCTGGTGATGATGGTGATGATGGTTAAGGCCGATGTTCACAATTTACTTTTGAACGTGAAGACGATGATGATTATTGTGATGGCATTGTAGTGACGATGATGCTAGTGATGATGATGCTGATGATGATGATGCTGCTGATGATGATGATGATGATTATGATGATGATGGTGATGGTGATGATTTGTGAAAGGAGACGAGAGGGAGAGGGGGTGAGACGCGTGCTCTTTTTCCGCGCGGGGGTGTCCACGAACAAAAAAAACAGTATCCCCACTTAGGACGTGAGGCATGATCCGAATGCCAACTCTGGGAGATCCGCGCGGGTCTCGCAGGTCGGCGTTGCAGCCCCCTGGCGGCGCCCCTGGCGCCACCCCTGGCGCGCGCTCCGCTCGCCGGGGAGGGGGTGTCCAGCGCCGATCCAGGACGCCAGTGCAGACCTCCAGCAGCTTATGGTTCTATCTCTGTGTTCTGTTGCGGTCCCTCTGGGCTTCGCCGACTTCCTGCTCCCAGGGCCCTCCCAGGGCTCTGGGACCGCAGAGAACGCAGAGGAGGGGGGTCCAGCGCCGATTCGGGACATCCGCGCGGACCTCCGACAGTTTTTATGCTCATGTCTATGCTTTGCTATGTTCATTCTCCCGATTCCTCGATGCACGCCTCATGTTGCTTGTGTGTATGGCTTGTTATGCTTATGTTCGGTGTTGTTTGTTGTGTTGCAGTGTTGTTTGTTATGTTATTTGGCATGCTGCTTATTATGTTGTTTGTGATGATTATGTGTTGTTACGCCTATATTTATGATACGTTAGGTTGTATTGTTGTGTTTCTGCTTTTCACAGATCTCTGGCTCCCAGGGCATTCCCAGGGCTTCCGGACCGCCAGAGCCGACCCTGGAGGGGAAGCTGGTCCTGGGGGGAAGGCCAAGGGGTGCAGGGATTCGTTGGGCCCGTTCCCGTCGGGGCCCGATTCCTTCCTGCCGTCCCCAAACCGGTAGCCCATGCCCTTTTGGTGTACCCGTTTGGGGTACCTTTCGGGGTACTTCAAAGAAGTACCGCTAAAAAGGAACCCAAAATGTACCCTAAAAAGGTACTCCAAAAAAGGTTGCCGAAAAGGTGCCCCCCAAAGGGTGCCCAATTGCTTTTTTTGGGGTACCTTTCTGGGGTACCCCAAAAAGATATCCAAGAAGATACCCGAAAGGTGCCCGCCTCCTTCATGCCAGGAAAATGCACATATCCTTGTTTGGTACGTTTCTGGGTGCCCCAAAAAGTACCCCAAAAGTTGCCCGATCCCTTCGTGCCCAAAAGGGTACCCTTCCCTCGTTCTCGCCCTCTTTGCACCTCCTGGGATCGTGGGCGGAAATCATGCCCGTACCCGCGGCCTCGCGGGCCCGGCCCCTGGGCCGCGATCCCGCGTGTGCGGGGCGCTTTCTCGCGGACGCCCCGCGCGGCACGCATCCGTGCGACCGCGTATCCGCGGGATCGCGCCCCGGAGTCCAGACCGCGAGAGCGCGGATACGGATGTGGTCGCCGCTCGTGGTGGGAGGCCCTCGTCGCCACCGTCCGAGTCGCCCCGGAAGTCTGGCCAGGCAGCACCCCCGCAGAGGCCCAGGGAGCAGCGAGGGGCGGTATTGGTACCTCTCGGTGTTCCGCAGAGTGCTCGGATCGGCGCTGGGCACCCTTGGCGGCGCCTCCGGCGCTGCCCCTGGAGGGGGCCAGCGCCGATCCGAGAAATCACCGCGGACCTCCTCAAGTGCAGCGTGTATGTGTACACCCATGTGTTTCCCAAAGTTGACTTTGGTTTTTTTTGTTGTCTTGCACAGGGTGTCCAGAGCTCCGACCACTTTATTCCGCGTCGAACCTTCCCCCCCGCATCCCCAGCGCCAGAGTGGGACCCACGCGCCGTGGCTCTCTGCCCCGAGCCCCCCCGCGTCCCCAGCGCCCCAGCGGGAGCCCCGCCCACCTGCTCCCTCCGCCACAAACGCTTTATTCCGCGTCGAACCCCTTCCCCCCCCCGCGTCCCCAGCGCCAAAGTGGGACCCCGTGCCGTGGCTCTCTGCCCCGAACCCCCCGCGTCCCCAGCGCCCCAGCGGGAGCCCCGCCCACTGCCCCCTCCACCACGAACGCTTTATTCCGCGTCGCGACGCACACCACCTCCCCCACCTCCCTTTTTCCGTCTCCAGCGCCCCAGTGGGGGTTCCGCCCCGTGCCCCCTCCGCCCCGACAGTTTTATCCCGCGTCGCGACGCACACCACCTCCCCTCCTCCCCCCCCCCGTCCCCAGCGCTCCAGTTGGACCCCCGCCCCGTGGCCTTCTACCCCAAGCCCCGCCCAGTGCCCCTTCCGCCCCGACCGTTTTATTCAGCGTCGCGACGCACACCACCTCCCCCCCCTCTCCTCCCCGCGTCCCCAGCGCCCCAGTGGAACCTCCGCTCTGTGCCTCCTCCGCTCCGAGGATTTTATTCCGCGTCGCGACGCACACTACCTCTCCCCCCCCCTCCACACCTGGGATTTGGGCCCCGTTGCTGGGCCCCGAGGTCCTCCTCCTCCTCCTCCTCCTCCTCCTCCTCCTCCTCCTCCCCCCTCTTTTTTGTGCACGAGCCATGGCACACGTGCCACTTGTTTATGCCACTAGCGAATTGGATGGGTCAGGCGTGGATTTTCCACGTTGCCGCCCATGGCCGCCCCGTGGCCGCCTCGTGCGCTGGGTGGGTCCGGCGAGGTTCTGTGCCTCCTGGCCGCGTCGCGCGCTGGGGCGGTCCGGCGAGGTACGTTGCCGCCCGTGGCCGCCTCGAGCGATGGCTAGGTGCGCCATCTTGCACCACAGGGCTTCCAGGCATAGCTTGTACCACGTAGATGACACATCCACAGCGCAACAACTTGCACATTCTTCGAAAGTTATTTGTTTGTTTGGGTTTTTTTTGGGGGGGGCCAAGCCGTTCATTTCAAACCAGGAACAATCAGAAAAGAGCAGACTTAGAAATGAACACGAGTAGAAATCAACGACGCGTACTATTCGGTGTCCACCCGGACAAACACACTGGGCGCCAAACAATTGCGTTTTTAGCAATATGTGTTGTGCAATCTGTGGTCAAATTCACTTGTGAAGTTCGCAGCTGTCAGCTCCATTGTCCGCGCAAACACCCCACCGACCCACCCGCAACTTGTTTTGCAAAACGCATGCGGCGGCGACTGCGATGAGTGCATGGTGTTGGCTGGTGCATCTCTGCGGTCGCGCAAGCCCGCGCATGCTAGCGCGCGCAGCGGCCAGCTAATTTGGCGCGACCGACGCGGCCGCGGTGGCGCTGACCGCTAGGCAGTTCCCAGCGGGCACTTCTGTGCGAGTCGGAAATTCGGGCGTGCGCGGTATCATGGCAGCGTCGACGACGGTAGACACGGCGATGATAGCAGCGACGCCGTTGACGATGATGACAACGGCGACGGCGCGGCCAGTGACGGCGCCGATGTTGATCACGCCGACGACGATGACGGCGTCGCCGCGTCGGTGATGAGGGTTTTGGGAGGAGTTCGAGATTCGCGCGCGGCCGACGCGCGAGAGTGGCCCCATGGTATCATTTGACACGGATCGTGCCCCCCAGCACGCGCGCAAGCGCGTACGAATGTCGACATGCGGCGCGAGAGCGGCCGACGCGCGAGAGTGACTCGCATGATGCGATTTTACATAGGTCGTGCCCTCCCAGAGCGCGCGCACGGGCGTTCGAATGATTTCGACACGCGGCGCGAAAAACCCGTTCGGCAGAATCGCACGAAAAAAAGTTGAAACAATATGGCTTCCTGATGAATTAGCAGGAGCGCGAACACAAGCAGTTCTGAACACGGATGTGGCCAAGCCATGTGTTTTATATAGTTTATGGGGAGCTCTATTCGGAAATTGCTGCGGCGCCAGATTTTTCCGGAGGGGTGAAAACAAAGGTTTCGGCATACGCGCGTGACGACGCGTGCGTGCGCCTTTCGTCGTCTTTTTTGTTTTGCGCTGCAAAAGGTGAATGACAATGGGTGATGTTTGATAAACGAGTGTGCGCGCAGAAGATGAGGGGAAAATTTCCGGTTTGGTTGGGATGATATGAGTTCATATTTCGGATGGGCGATGGGCCAGAATCGTATGTATATTGCAATGCGCGGAAAGAGGGCCCGTAAAGTCCGGGGGGGGGGGGGAGGGGAGTTCCTGTTATCCTTTTCAGACAGGAGAACCTATGTGGTGCAATCGTTGTTGTGCAATCCAGCGACGGGGCGGCCACGAGGCGGCGACGGCGACCACGGAACCGCCAGACCGGCACCCAGGCCCAACAGACGGGCGGCGACGAGGCGGTGACGGAGCGGCGACGGCGACCGCGGAGCCGCCAGACTAACACCAGGCCCGAACGACGGGCGGCGACGACGACGGGGCGGCGACGGCGACCACGGAGCCGCCAGATTGGCACCCCAACGCAGACGACGGGCATCGAAGAGGCGGCGACGGGGTGGCGACGGCGGCTACATAGTCCGCCGGACCGCCACCCTTGCCCACACGACGGGCAGCGATGAGTCGGCGACGGGGCGGCGCCGGCGGCTGCATAGCCGCTGAACCACCACCCAGGCAGTTCTTGAGGCAAGAAGTAAGAACCCTTAGTGCAAGCACTGTTTGCGGAACGTTTATGAATATATATATATATATATATATACACACTATCATGCGCACCTTTTCCGAGGGAGTAATGCTCAGACGCGATTCGTTGTGAAGCCGCGTTTGTTTCTCTGGCCGTTTTGTTCGGAACGTCCTCCCAATTCTGACAATGGGACGCTCCCCTCACGCAGATCGCGACGTGACGTTCCAAAAACAGTCAGTTTCCAACATTGCCACATAAAACCTTGCAAAAGAACGCAATGGATTTCAATAGTGTTGAGCTCTATCCTCCGAACATTGCAGTTTCGCGTGAGACATCCTCCGAAACTCGAGCCCCTTTTCATCACGATTCTTAACACAAATGCCGTTTCACTTGAGACATGCTCCCAACATCTAGCTCCAATGTACAACACACAGATACAGAGCGATACATACGTAGAGAGAGAGAGAGAGATACAGAGAGATAGTACACAGAACGCGCACACCACACAACATGTATTATACACTATATAATTACAAGACGCAGAACACACATACACACAAAGCCTACAACACACAGAACACACATGGACACGAACACACACACACACACACCACACACACACACGCCCACACACACCCACACACACACACACGCACACACGCACACACGGGCATGCACCCACACGCGAACACACGCACACACAACACACATGACACACACACAAAGCACCCAGCACACATGAATCCACACAACACACCTAAACGGCATACCACGCAACACACACGCACAACACACAGCATACGTAACACACTCCCTACACAACACAGACACCCACTTCCTGCACATTTGTTTGTGTGAGCCTTGGCACGCTCGTGCCACTTGTGTATATGTATATATATATATATATATATATGTGTATGGACGTGCAGATGTCGTTTCCTCTCAGGTACATGCCGTTCGACCACTTCATGATCTCGGACATGAGGGTGCACCTCCCGTACCCCACGGAGCAGCACCCTCCAGATCCCACTCACGGGCACGAGGCCACATCATGATCTTGGCAGCGCCTCACGGAAGATCAGCCCCTCCCAGCTGCCGCACGGCGGCCGCATCGCTGGCTCCGGGGGATGCTCCGTGCACCCTCCTGTCACTTCTTCCAGGGGGGGGCATGGGGCCTCCTGCGCGGGGTTGGTGTGATGGCTGATCGTCCATGAGCACATCGTTTTGTATTCTTTGGCGCGTTACTGTCGTTACCCCCCCCCCTCCTGGACAACGGTAGCCATCGTGCGCATCGTACGTGGGGGGGGGGGGGGGAGGCTGGACCTCACCCACATGCTGGTGCTCGCGCGCATATTGTTGCGACCGCTGCGCGCCCCCTGCCCCGACGCGCCCCGCCCCGCCCAGGCGTTACTGCGAACCCTCTCCCCTCCCCCGCCAGAGGGTCGGGAGGGGGAGGAGGAGGAGGGGCGGAGGGTGCGGATGATGGTCAAGATCCTGGTGCCGAGGGTTGGCCCTGGGTGGAGAGGTTCATGGCGACCGAGGGCGGCGACGCCTGCGCCGCGAGGGTCGGGCACGGGGACGCCCCTCGCCGCCTGCCCACCTTTCTGCACACCGTGCGCCCGTGGAACCCGGAGCAGCAGAACACCTCCTGGCAGTTCAGCAAGTATCAGGCGATCGCGGCCATGGGTGAAGGAGGAAGAGGAGGAGGACGAGGAGGAGGAGGACGAGGAGGAGGAGGACGAAGAGGAGGAGGAGGAGGAGGACGAAGAGGAGGGAGGAGGACGACGAAGAGGAGGAGGACGACGAGGAGGAGGAGGAGGAGGAGGAGGAGGAGGGGGCGTGGTTTAGCGACGGGTCCCGCTTCCATGGGTAATCGCGGATTTCCGCCGCCGAGCGAGGCGGCACCGGCCGCATTTTGGGGTGGGCACCTGCCCCGATCCATGGACTTGGCGACCGCGCGCCACATCCATGGATCGCTAATCCATGTTTGTGCGCCCCCGAAAGCACCAGGCTCAACGACGGAAGAAAACGGGGTCGTCTTCACTGACTCTGGCGCTTGAGCTGCCCGCGTGATGTCGCGTGCAAGCGCCCTCTTCTCCACGCTGGCGGCCCGCGTGAGCCTCGGCGCAGGGTCGCCCTGTCATCGCGCGGAGGACCTTCTTCTTCTCGTCGCCCAGGTGCCTCCGGGCTGGAGCCGCCAGGACGGGGAGGGCATACTCGACTGCGACATGCCGCTGCTCGCCGAGCCCGCCAGGGACTACGTCCGCGTCGTCGGCGAGACGCCACTGCCGCACCCGAACCGGACCCAGGTGCGCGCGGCAAGGCGAAGACGCCTTGAGGCGTGGACTATGTGTGGCATCATCCACGGCCTCAACGACATGTTGATGGATGTCAAGAAGCTGAAGTGTCCCCAGGGCTTCAACGACCGCAGGGCTCTCAAGATAGAGGGCCACTGGAACAACAGGCGCCTCGCCACGAAAGCCGCGGGCACGCCAGAGCCAGCGCGAACCTTAACCCGCACGCCCGGCCATCCCTGTGAGGTGCGCGTGGAAAGACCCGCCTTTCATCCTGAGCCATTTTTTACGGTCCCCAGGTCCGGCGAGGGCCCCTGGAGGCAAAAGACAACAAAACACTTCCTGTCGGGTTTTTTCTTCTCTGTCGAAGCGAGGGAGTCAAGGTTATTTTTCTCCCTTCGCCTGCTCCTCAGTCCGCAAGCCTCGATGATTTTCGATGATCCTCGATTGCAGTGTCGTCATCCTCCTGCTCCTCCTCCTCCTCCTCCTCCTCCTCCTCCTCCTCCGCCTCCTCATCCTCGTCCCCGTCCTCCGCCTCATCCTCCTCCTCCTCCTCCTCCTCCTCCTCCTCCTCCTCCTCCTCCTCCTCCTCCCCCTCGTCCTCCTCCGTCCCTCCCCCTCCTCCTCCCCCTCCTCCGCCTCCTTCTCTTCGTCCTCCTCCTCCTGGCATTCCTCATCCTCCTCCTTTTCCTCCTCCAACTTTCCCCAACCTCCTCGGCACCTGTGCCACTGGGACTCCTTCCCAGGAAAACAGGCGGGTAGCAGCCCGTTCGTCACCCTTGTTTGCCCGTTGGGGGCCAAGGGGAGAGAAAATTGCTTTCGTCGTCAGCGGCCACCCATGGCGTGGGTGGTGGGTAGGTTGGGCGTCACAGCACGGGCGCCCCCTACCCCGAACAGGGCGCGCGGAGCACGGTCTCCTTGTGCCCCCCTGTTTCGCGTACCTTTCGCGCCACGGGGGCATGGCCCTGGACCTTCGGCGCTGCTCTGTCTTCTGTGTGCTGTCTTGTTGGCTGTGTCTAGCAGGGGCGTGCAGGGTCAGTGCTTACCGTCTGGCTTTGCCACTCGGCGCAGACTGCATCCCACTTCGCTCCAGGTTGGTTGCCCTGCGCTGTAAGGGTCTGGGGGCGATGTCGTGGACGTCAAACAATGTCCTCAACGTCCGCCTGCCTCCTTCCAGTTCCTCCTCCACGAACCTCCTCCTCCGCCTCCCACTACCTCCTCCTCCTCCTCCACCTCCTCTTCCTGGTCCTCCCCTTTCCGTTCCTCCTCCTCCTCTTCCTCCCCCTCCTCCTTCCCCTCCTCCTCCTCCTCCTCCTCCTCCTCCTCCTCCTCCTCTTCCTCCTCCTCCTCCTCCTTATCATCTTCCTCCTCCTCATTCCTTCCACCTCCTACCTCCTACCTCCTACCTCCTACCTCCTCCTCCCCTGTTCCTCCTCCTCCCCCTCCTCCTCCTCCTCCTCCTCCTCCTCCTCCTCCTCCTCCTCCTCCTCCTCTTCCTCCTCCTCCTCCTCCTCCTCCTCCTCCTCCTCCTTCAACCTCCTGATCATCCCTCCTCCCTCCTCCGTCTTTTATCCATTTTGAAGAACGCCCTGTCGCACTCCCCGACGCGTCGGCGTTTCGCCCGAACTTTCTTCACGCTTGACGACCCTGAAGCCTTAAGCTTGCAACGGCTTCACGGGTGGAGGGCGGGCATGTTTCAAAGCGTGGCTCTCGCTTACGCGTTGCGCGCATTCCGTCAAAAGCTTGCAACTCCAAGGATGGAGGACTGGTCGTTCTCAAATGTACCTTTCGCCTTCGCACCGAACGCGTGCGTAAAACGTGTGTAGCAGAGGATGGAGGGCTGGTCATTTTCAAGATGTGGTACTCGGCGTTGCGCCGCGCGCATTCGTGTTCAAAGCTCGCGACATTTCTTCGGTTACGATGAGTGGAAGTCACAGGAGAGGGAGGCGTTGTGGCACGGCTTCGCATTGCCAGTCGTGCTGACTCGCGGTGCTGAAGTCACACGAATGGTGTTCTGGCACAGTTTAGGGTTGTCAGAACGCAACAGTCGTGACGATGCGCGGCGTCGAAGTCCCAGGGATGGTGTTCTGGCACGGGTGAGGATTCTCAGGCGGTTGCCTTCCGACGGGGGACATCTTGCAACCATAACAAGTTCTTGACGGCATTATTGCTAAAAGGGAGCTTGGAGGGAGGGGGAATGTGCAGCATCGTTGATGTGCATTGAGTGTGCACTGGTCCTTTCCCTCCTCCACCTCCTTTTTTAAACGTTGGACAAGCAGTAAGACCAGGCTTGTTGCGCTCACGCACCCTCATCCTTCTCCGCCTCCTCTTCCTCCTCCTCCTCCGCCTCCTCTTCCTCCATCCTCCATGCTCCTCCTCTGTCCCCCCCTCCTCTCCTTCTCCTTTTCCTCCTCCTCCTCCTCATCATCATCCTCGCCCTCCTCCTCCTCCTCCTCCTCCCTTCCTCCTCCTCCTCCTCCTGTTCCTCAGCCCGCGACCCTCGACGACCCTCTGTGCCATCCTCGTGCCGCAGGCTCCTGGAGCCCTACGCCCCGGAGGGCGGGGACGCCGAGTCCGTGCGTCGGTGCTCGGTCGGCCTGACGTGCACCAGAGGCATCGCCCCGCTTGGCGGCGACGGGCAGCCTGCAGGTCGTCGCGCCCTCGTGCCGGGAGGGGGAGGACGAGAACGAGGAGGAGGACGAGCAGGACGCGGACGAGGACGAGGAGGAGGAGGAGGAGAAGGAGGAGGAAAAAGAGCGGGAGCAGGAAGGAAGAGGACGGGGAGGAGGAGGAGGAGAAGGAGGAGGAGGAGGAAGAGGACACGCACATGGCTTGGGGGGTGTTCGATGTCCGCCGCGAGAGAGCGCGGCCGACTATGGAGGGCTTAGTGCCTCCTCTCCCTGGGTCTTGGCACGCTCCTCGCGCACCAACTGGGCCAGGGGAGTAGCGGGGGTCTTAAAAACGATCGGGGACGACTTTGTGCCCTTGGGATCTCGACCCTCCTGGACGCGGGCTAGCTGAGTGGCCGCTCCTTGGTGGCTCACTCTAGTGCTGCACGCACTAGCGAGCCCTCGACCCAACCCTTCAGAGAAGGATCCACACTTATGGCAAACCAAGATACTCGTCGGGTGATCAAGGTGCTCGTAGTAAAACAAATCGTGGCCTTTATTATCATGCACAAGATCGGAGAGCTGCTTACAGTGGCCTGGGCAATGCTGGGCCTGTAAGACTCCCCGCTGTTTGAAAGACTTGGTCTGCACTCTACACAGGATGCACCTGTGATACTGGTGAATGAGAGCCCATGTGTGGTACCTGAAGGGCTCTCTGGGCTCCTCTTGGGGCACAGGAGGAGGCGGAGGGGGGGGAGGCTCGACCGACGACGGCGGCGTCCACGACGAAAGGGCAGAGGCGGCACCCGAGGGGGGAGAAAAACTCTTCTCTGGGGCGGCCAAAGCTTTGTTGCGGTGGGGGGCGATCGCGGGCCACTCTCCCAGAGCCTGCGCAACATACTTCAAATATCGCACGATAAACTTCCGACTGTCAGTGAAATCGCTTTTCTCTGCTTCACTAGGCTGCATTCCTTTAAAAGCGGCTGCCTTGGCAATGCGGTCAGCAGTACTATTACCTTCGGCCAACCTTCTCTCTTCACTGCCTTCTGAGAGGGCCTGCACGTCTTGGTGGGCCTTGACCTTGCGCAGGCGCTGGCCGAGGGGGAACTGGCTCCTGCCAGCCAAGACCTTACACCCAGCCCACACGTTGTGCCGAGGGTACTCAGACCCTTGGTGCAGAGACAAAACTCCTTTATAATCAGAGTAAATGACTTCAACATCCCTAGAAAGAATACTGGCCGCAACAGCGGCCAAATGCTCCGCGGCACCCGAGGTTTGTAAGAACATCTGGCCGACTCGGCCACTGAAATGGGCAAAAGCTTCACCGTTACGCATACAGACAACCGCGAAACCTGCGGCGTTGAAAACATAGTGACCGTGGTTAGTGCAACTACCATCTATATATACACCTCCCCTTCGATGAAAGCCTCCTGAGGGGTGATCCCCTCCTGAGCACACCAAAACTCCCCAAACTCCAGGCCCGAACCAGGAGGATTCTCTCCACGATACTCGGGGACCAGCTGGAAACCGAGATACTGGGGCAGGGTCTGGGGAGGAGGCTCTCTTAAATTCTGAAGCTCCGCTGCCGAGAAGTGAGTGGTTCTGAGATTCTCTGTCTTCGGGCAGTAAAGTATGCGGTGGCCGAGGTTGTCCGAATGGTGGCCGCACTCGCAGCCAGTCTCGACTTCGTATCCTGCTGCCTTGGCTCTGTCCATAGTCCATATGCTCTGGGTGAGGAAGGCGAGGAGGGTTCCCTTCTGGTGGCCAAGGAGGTCTGGCGATGACAGAGCAGCACGGGCAGCAACCACATCTAACTGGGCGTTCGGGTGGCCGATCTTCTCGGCCGCCTTGGAAGCGAGCTGGCCGTGCCAGTCGAACTCCATGAGCTTTTGGAGGAGGGCGGGGGAATGTCCTGGGAGAGGGTACTCAATGCCTGAGGAGGTCACAAAAGTAAATGGTCCCTGGAATTTCCAACCGATCCTTTTAAGCGAAAGCACCGCAGCGCTGAGGGGGCCCCTGGAGGAGCCCCAAGATTTAGCAACTCTCGGGAGGATGGCCTCAGCCCAAACACGTAACTGCTGGAGGCTGGTCACGGCGAGGTGGGGGCGGGTGGCGGCGTCCCAGGCAAGGCGGCGCCACATAATGGCGGTGCCCAGGGCAGCTTTCCACAAGGGGTCCTTGAGGATGAGCAGAGCCAAACTGCGGCTGCGCGTCGGGCAACGGGGTCCCGCAGCAGCCAAAAACTGCGACCTAGCTGATTCCAACTGCGTGCCATTGATGCCAGTCACCTCGGCTCCGAACGTGGTGGCCGCCTCGAGGCCAGTCCTATACAACTTATGAGTGTTGCCCCCTGCTCTCTTGAGCATGCGAACCCTGTTAAGTTTTTTACGCATCTTATCAAGACGCTCCGAAATCTTACGCTGCGTTCTCCAACGTCGTTGGGGCCGTCCAGCCCCAGTTTCACAACCCAGGTTAGGTCCAGACCTATCCGCGTTCGGGCCCGCCAGAGGCCCGAGGGCCGTCCTGAGTTGATCCTGAAGGGCTTGCTGGGACGCCAGGACCTGACTGTTCTTGCTGGCGATCTGGCACTTAAACTCATTGATGATGCAGTCTGCCATGGACCTGGCAGCAATATTGAGCTGGCTGACGATGAGGCTGTAACTGCGGCCGTGGCACTGGAGCAGCAGATCATCTATAAACATCGCGAGCCTGATATGACAATGCGCCTGCGCCCACACGTCGAGCGGGGCGAGCACATACATTTGCACAAGATAGGTGGCCCAACTGCATCCTGCGGCTATGCCCCTCCAAGGCTTGCCTACACTGACTGCGCAATCTTGTAGTGCAACTGTGCGTTCACTGGCATATTGAGATAGTATGATACGCAATAAACAACACGGAAAACCTGATTCAACAGCACGATAAGCAAGACAAGGCCGATCAACATGTTCGTAGTAGTTAGATCAATCGTAGAGAACTCGGGCACTATATTGTTGATCTTTGTCAGAGCTGTTGAACTCGCATTCTAAGGATTGTTTGTATACTAATTCCACTATGGAGTGGCCAGCCTGATGAGCAAGGTGCGGCCTGCGGTGGTGTGCCTCCCACTCTCTGGCCGCTGACCTCCTGAGCCTAGCCCAGACTCTGTACAAAGCTGGAAGCATGCCAATGGACCTGAAAGAGGGCTGGCTGGCTGGGGTATCATGCTGTTTCAACTTCATCATCAGAGTCGATACGATGCCTTGGAGCTGGGTTGGCATATGTCCAATCTTTTCCAGCAGGCCAATTAAATCGCAGACAATCTCTGCCTGTTCGTTATTCAACATACTGAAATGCCTAGGGTGGAACCCGTCCCAGGTAGTGGCAGTGGCATGGGGAAAACTTTTCGCAACCTGTCGTAATCTCTTGGGGCTGATGGGGCCCAGGGCAATTCGATCTTCTCTGTCAGGAACGAGCTGAGGTGGGGTATCCTGGGAAACCTGCCATATTTTTGCCAGACGATCTGCTTCAGCCTGCAATATATGCTGGGGCCTGCCAGAATACTGCGACTTAAATGGAACTGACGAGGGCCTCCAGGCCTCCAAACGCTTGGTCCATCTGTGAGCCCATCCCATTCCTCCCTTCATGTTGTCCTGAACCCAATCCCTCCATGCCTTCCCGTCTGCAGCGTTCTCTGCCGCCTGCTCCTGATGCAGGAGCTTGGTGACGTGCTCTAGCAGCTCGTCCAGAACCTGGATCGCCAGCGCCTGGTTCAGGGCACCAGCGCTGAAATCAACGTGCAACAGACCTGCAGCAACTCTAATTTCTTGCAGCCCCTCCTTGAGGGACACGACGGTGGTGAACAGCTCAGGGCAATCCTCTAAGCTGTCGAGAGCGCCCTGAAACTCAGTGAGATTCCAGTCCTGAACACATCTATGGAAATCTTGAATCCTATTGATGAGCCATCTCAACGGGCCCGTGTAGGCCACCCATTTAGCCCTACTCCTAGCAGCTTTGGCCTCAGCGGGGACCATAAGAACCTGAGGGGGGTGGGCCCTGGGGTACTTGCTAGGCTTGAGGGGGGTGTTAGTTTTCTTACTGATTGTAGCTTCCAAGTCCTGGGCCAAGCTGAAATACACGTGGTCCAGGAGCACCGACTGCTGTTGATCGCTGAGCGGCCGTCGAGCATCATCGATCAATAGTGAAGCGTACTCCAATGCAGCAGCTGGCTGGTGCCAACTCACTTCTGGCAATTGCGGGCCCACAGGGATACGTGTGGGTAGCTTCTGGGGCCTATGCAGCGTGGGGATATTAAAGTTATTCTCAACTACAATATCTAGCAGCACAGGTCTGTGAGGGGAGAGAGGATACGAGGAAAGAGTACGGGGGTTACTGAGCCACGGCGAGAGGCCTTGGCTAGACAGGAAATAATCTAGAGTGGATTTGGTCTTCTTGTTTCGGTAGGTGGCGGTCGGCGGCGCAAGCAGGGTCATCGTGGACCTGGACAGAAACTCCGCTTGGGCCAACCTAGCGGGGGCTAGGTTAAAATCCCCCGCAACCAAAACTGGATGGGTCAAATCATCCTGAAGTTGGCCTATGGCGGCCAGAAGTTTTAAATTGGTCTCGGAGAGACCAGCAGCAGCCTGAAAGTAGGTACAACATATGGCGAACTTCGGGACCCCAGGAAGTTCGAGCAATACCCCCGATAATCGAGCGGGGTCGAAAGCGGCAGAAAAAGTGATCGGCTGGACCCCCAGGTCCAAGCCATCCCGAATCAAAATCGCAACTCCCGAAACCAACTCATTATTCTCACTCGTGGCTGCAGGCGTGATGTAAGCCAGCCACCCCTGGGCCGGGCACCATTGTATCTGACGCACAATGCTATCTCCTTCGGCAAGCTTACACTCCTGAGCACAGATGATCGTGACTGCACTAGACTGCGGCGAAAGAACAAACTTGCGCACAGCAGGCCAGCAGGAACCATTGATAGTAGCGATCTTATAAGTGTTACCCTGGCGGCTTCTGGCCCTGGGTGGCCGCGAGCGCCGCAGCCTCGGCCGCCGCCTTGACCCTCTTGGTCTCGGGGCCTGACTCACTCTGGATCTTGGCCATGCCCTGGGCGACCTCGGACAGCGCAGCAGCCGCACGGCGGCGGCCTTCAGACGTGTCCATGGCCTGCGCCTCTGCCGTGGTCTCCAGCTCCTTGTCGTCGGCAGGAGTGGGGACGTGCTGGCCTGGGATGGGCGCGGGCGTCTGACTTGCCTGGCCGTCATCAGGGCTCTCTCCAACTGCAGGGAAGCCGTCGATGACCCCGCGCGGGGCCGCCTCCGCAGGCGGGCCGCCACCTGCTGGTGCGCCCGAGGCCTGGGATGCGACGTGTTGCTGCTGCAAGGTGTCGAACATGGCGGCCAGCTCCGATACTTTATCTCGTAGTTCAGGTGGGGCCAGTCCTCCTTGTGGCATTCTGGCGGGTATAACTCCTTGAATGGTGGTGAGCAAATCTTCAGCTTTGGATGCCTCATACGCAGCCGCCTGGGTGGCCGCATTGAGCTGTGTCTCCAGCGTTTGCACTTCTTTTGAATTAGCTTCGATCTCCTCGACCAGCTTGCCGTGATATTCACTTGCCTCGACAATTGTAGTGACCAGCTCGCTGGCCTCCTGCTTCTGCGCCTGCAACCTCTGGCGCAACACCTGGAGTTGATCTGGCAAGGATTGTGCTTGCTGCTCCAGGCTCTTGGCTGACAACGCCTGCGCCTTGGCGAACTTGAGCTTGCCCAGCGCCGCCTTGTGCTCCTCTCCATCTGGCTTCCACTTCTTCCAGAAGGTGACTTGAGCTTGGGCCAGGGCGACTGGGTCGTCAGCGGGAACTGCATCCTCGAAGGTGACCACTCGGCCGCCTCCGCGCCCCAGGCTTGGTGGGCGCTCTGGACCGCGGGAGCCTTTCCTCCAGCGTCCTGGCTTGGCGGGCTCCTCCTCGACGTCAGGCCGAACATCCTGGGGGCCACCTCCACCACCTTGGGGTCTAGCTGGGGGACCGTGATCCCCGCCCTGCTTGAAACGGCTGCCACACTGCATACAATGACGAGAATTCGTCGAGCACCAAGCCCAGCCTTTGCAGCCTCGCTTCGAGCAGACCATGTACTTCTTCTGCTGCTGGGCGGGCATCTTCTGATGATGGCGGCGCGCTGGCGCACGCACACGAGAGGCCCTATGGCAGCACTGATGCGGGTCGTGATTGTGCCTCTGCCTGGGGCTGACCAGGCGGCACGGGGGCAGAGCAAACAAGCTTGGGCCCCAGCACCCAGGGCCTGCCCTGGATGGCAATGCTGAGACCTGCACCTCCCGCGGTGTGCTCAGGTCTTGAGCCAGGAGGAGGAAGAGGAGGAGGATGGGGAGGAGGAGGAGGAGGAGGAGGAGGAGGAGGAGGAGGGTGAAGAGGAGGAGGAGGAGGAGGAGGAAGAGGAAGAGGAGGAGGAGGAGGATGAGGAGAAGGAGGAGGAGCAGCGGGAGGAGGAGGAACAGGAGGATGAGGAGGAGGAGGAGGAAGAGGAGGAGGACGCGGACGAGCAGGAAAACGTGGAGGACGAGGAGGACTGAGAGGAGGAGGTGTTCAGTCGGCCTTGTGTGCACTGGGGGCATGGCACCGCAGGGAAGCGGCGGGAAGCCTGCGGGTCGTCGCGCCCGCGTATCGGGGAGCGACGGCGCCCAGACATCGTCGTCGTGGTCGTCGTCGTCATCTTCGTCGTCGTCGTGTTCGTCGTCGTCGTGTTCGTCGTCCTCGTCGTCGTGTTCGTCGTCGTGGTCGTCGTCGGCGTCGGGTTCGTCGTCGTGTTCGTCGTCGTCGTCGTTGTGTTCGTCGTCGTCTTCGTCGTCGTCGTCTTCGTCGTCGTCGTGTCCGTCACTGTCTTCGTCGTCGTCGTGGTCGTCGTGTTCGTCGTCTGCGTCTTCGTCGTCGTTGTGTTCGTCGTCGTCGGCGTCGTCGTCGTCGTCGTGTTGGTCGTCGTCGTCGTCGTGGTCGTCGTGGTCGTCGTCCTCGTCGTCATCGTCGTGGTCGTCGTGGTCGTCGTCGTCGTCTTCGTCGTCGTGGCCGTCGTCGTCTTCTTCGTCGTCGTGGTCATCGTCGTCTTCGTCGTCGTCGTGTTTGTCGTCGTCGTCGTCTTCGTCGTCGTCGTCGTTGTCCTGTTCGTCGTCGTCGTCGTGTTCGTCGTCGTCATGTTTGTCGTCGTGGTCGTCGTCGTCTTCGTCGTCGTCGTCGTGGTCCTCGTCGTCGTCCTCGTCGTCGTCCTCGTCGTCGTCGTCGTGGTCGTCGTCGTCGTCGTCGTCCTCGTCGTCCTCGTCGTCGTCGTCGTCGTCGTCGTGTTCGTCGTCGAAGTCGATGTCCTCGTTGTCGTCGTGTTCGTCGTCGTCGTGGATGTCGTCGTCGTCGTCGTCGTCCTCGTCGTCGTCGTCGTGGTCGTCGTCGTCGTCGTCGTCGTGTTCGTCGTCGTCGTGGTGGTCCTCGTGGTCGTCGTCGTCGTCGTAGTCCTCGTCGTCGTTCGTCGTCGTCGTCTTCGTCGTCGTGTTCCTCGTCGTCGTCGTCGTCGTGGTCGTCGTCGTTTGAGTCGTCGTCGTCGTCGTCGTGTTCGTCGGCGTCGTCGTCGTGTTCGTCGTCGTCGTGGTCATCTTCGTCGTCGTCGTGTTCGTCATCTTCGTCGTCGTCGTGTTGGTGGTCGTCGTCGTCGTGGTCGTCGTCGTTTTCGTCGTCGTCGTAGTCTTCGTCGACGTCGTCGTCTTCGTCGTCGTCTTCCTCGTGGTCGTCGTCGTCGTCTTCGTCGTCTTGGTCGACGTCGTCGTCGTCGTTTTCGTCGTCGTGGTCGTCGTCGTCTTCGTCGTTGTCGTCGTCGTGTTCGTCGTCGTCGTCGTCCTCGTTGTCGTCGGCGTCGTCGTCGTCTTCGTCGTCGTCGTCGTGGTTTGTCGTCGTCGTGTTCGTCGTCGACGTGTTCGTCGTCGTGTTCGTCGTCGTCGTGTTCGTCGTCGTCGTGTTTGTCGTCGTTGTCGTCGTCGTCGTCGTCGTCGTCGTCTCCCTTACCTCCCGATCGCGAAGGAGGCCGAGCGTGGTGTCAGCCAAAAGGATCCTGCGGGCCCCGGCGGGGCCCTGCGCCGAGGCCGGGTGCGGTGCCGTGCGCCCCCGCGGTTCCGTGGCATCGCTCGGGTGTGTGTTGTTTTCCCTTTCTGCGAGGGCCAGCGATCGACCAAGAACCGCACGACACCGCACGACACCACCCCACCTGCGGCGCGCCGGGCTGGATGTTTGCGACCTTGCCTCGCTGTCCTTCGCGTGGTGTTTCCTGGCCGACGACGGCATGATGGTGACGTGCTGGGCATGGTGGTGATGGCAAGATGGTCCAGTATGCCCCTCGATATCGAGGAGCATACTGGACCATCTTGCGACAACGTGAGCGCACGAAGCCGAACAGTTCACAGGGAATGCGTGCCCGAGCGACGGCAAGGCCCGCGTCGTGAAGCGGTCGCGGCAGCGCGTTTCTGGCCGTTTTCGGCCCCCTGGCGCTGTCCTGCGGGTTCGGGACGAGGGCGTCAAGGGACCTTCGAGACGACGCCCGGAGTTTATGTGCCCGTCGTCGTTCGGGCGTCGATCAGTGGGGGTGCTATATGTGGATGGGCGAGGACAGGGCCACTTTTCTGTGCCGCCCCCCCAGAGAGGGCCGTAGAGGGGCCCGTTGGGGCCCAAAAGGGGCACAGAAGACGTACGTTTCTTTCTCCCCCCCGTCGATCGCGCCCCCATCACACCCATTAGGAATTTTAAGAAAAACATGAACTTTCATGGCCTCCAGAAGTCGCTTAAGAAACTCGAGAATGTGGGCTAGTGCATGGGCCTTTGTTTGGAGCCTCTGTTCGCGTGGTAGGTTCGGAGATCTGGGTCCGCACTGCTGTTTAAGAGAACGCTTCGATTGAGGCACATTTTCTGAGCCTGCAGATTCCCCGTAACTCTTCTAAGCAGGGGTTCGATCCACTCCCAAAGCGTGTGCGGGTCCTGTTCTGCCGAGGCCAACGCGGCGGGCGGGACTTCCCAGAAGGCGGTCGGACTTCTACCTCGCGCCTTCTGACAGGCTTTCTGCGTCTTCGGGGAAGGCTCAGAAAGCATGTCAGAAGGCCAGGGAGCTTCACGTCATCCTGAGAAGGCTTGCCCCCTTCGCAATTCCCTCCCCCGCTCGCCGCCGAAATGAGCGCCCAAAACGTGTTTTTGTTCCTTCCCGCGACGTAATGCCCAAGTCCATGGCGTAAAAGACGCCCCGACCCTTATTTACGAGGCGCTGTGCGCTAAACCTCCTGTGATCTGTCAGGGTAAATCCTGCGTATCGTGCGTGTTGCGCGGCGTCCTGTCGGCTCTGTGGTCCTTGGGAGCTCCCGGGAGGTTTGCTGACCTCGCCCTTGCAACACGGGGTAAGGGCGTTTTTTGTTCATCCCTCAACAATGCGTGTTCGTTGTCCTGGATTGCAGCTTAAGACAACGCCTCGAGTGAAACCCGTTTGCTTAGCCTAGATTTCTTGACTCCGAGCAGGGGCGGCTTTTCACGCCCAAAGCGGAAGGCGGCGGAAAGGGCGGCGGAAGGTCGGCGGAAGGAAAACGAGGCCGCCTCTGCAGGCGGAAACCGGCGGAGTGGCGGCGGAAGGCGACGGAAATAGAAGATGCGTCCCCAAGAGATGCCAACGTTGTTGGGTTCAGGGCTTTCCCAACTCACGCCCCAAGCGTGCTCTTTTCCTCCCGTGCCGTCGGCAGCGAGCCAGGGGGGGGAAGTGAGAAGGGGCGGGCCTTCTCCTCACAAGGCTCGGAAGTCCCCTGGCCTTCAGAGAAGTTGTCCAGGCCCTCCCCGAATACACAGACCATTGTCGGAGGACGCGAGGGCTTCTGAGAGGTCCCAGCGCCTTCTGAGAAGGTCTCTTCCTTCTCATTCTCCCCCCCTCGCTCGCCGCCGGCATGAACGCCCAAAGCGTGTTCGTTTCTTCGATCGCACTCGGCGGGCTGCCTTGTCCTGGCCTCCTCCGCCGCCTCCTCATCCTCCTCCGCCGCCTCCTCCGCCGCCTCCTCCGCCGCCTCCTCCTCACTCCTTCTCCGCCTCGTCCTCACTCCTCCTCACTCCTCCTCCCTCCTCCTCCTCCCTCCTCCTCCTCCTCCTCCTCCTCCTCCTCCTCCTCCTCCTCCTCCTCCTCCTCCTCCTCCTCTCCCTCCTCCGCCTCGCCCTCCTGCCTCGCTGCCGAGGTCAGCACTCGTTCGCTGCTCGTGGCGGGCAGCGCGCGGCTGCCCCCCTGCTCTGAGGGCGGCGGGACCCTGCGGCCGGAGGGCGCGCCCGCCCTCGAGCAGCGGGGCCGCGAGGGGCGGCGGCCGGCGGGAGGATGGAGGACGGGCGGCGGCGGCGGCGGCGGCGGTGGCGGCGGAGGAGGAGGAGGAGGAGGATGGAGGATAGAGGGTGGAGGATGGAGGATGGAGGCTGCAGGATGGAGGATGGAGGATGGAGGATTGAGGATGGAGAAGGGAGGATGAAGGCCAAAGGATGGAGGATGGAGGACGGAGGATGGAGGATGGAGGACGGAGGATGGAGGATGGAGGAAGAAGGATGGAGGGTGGAGGATGGAGGATGGAGGATGGATGAGGAGGAGGAGGAGGAGGAGGAGGAGGAGGAGGAGGAGGAGGATTCTAGCGGATCCAGCAAACAGGGGTGAGCGAGTGCAAGCTTGGTCCTGGCACCAGTCAGTTACGGAGCTGGGAGGGACATGCCGTACGCAGGGGGCCAGCCCTCCCCCAGCCTGTCGAGGTCGCGCCCGCCAGTGACAGACGGCTCGGGAGGGCAAGGTTGGGTCAGCTTCTGCGCCAGACTGACCGCAAAACTCCCACATCCCCGATTTGGGACAAAGCACCTCTGAACTCAGCCAGAACATGCGTCTGATTCTCACGGCCAAAACATGAATGCCCATTCGGATTCCCCAGGGTCGGGACCGTCGCCTGAGAGGAGCCCGAACCGACCGCCTCCGAGGACCCAAGCAAACGTGCCCCAGGGCACCCAGCAGGCCAGAAACTAGCAAGCGCTCCTTCGACGGCAGGGACATCGCAAACACAAGAAACACATTTAACCACAACGCCAACTTTAGCAACGGTAAGCTCGGTAAGCTGTTGCTTGCGGGCATTAGTCGAGCGGGGCCCTTTCTCACGGCGGTGCTTTCTGCCTAATCTATCCTCGCGTGTCATCGGGCATGTGTGGAAAACTTGCCGAGGAGGTGGAGGAGGAGGAGAACGAGGAGGAGGAGGAGGAAGAGGAGGAGGGGGGGAGGAGGAGGAGGAGGAGGAGGGAGGAGGAGGAGGAGGAGGAGAGAGGAGGAGGAGGAGGAGGAGGAGGAGGAGGAGGAAGAGGAGGAGGGGAGGAGGAGGAGGAGGAGGAGAGCGCAGAGGAGGACCAGGAGGAGGGCAGGGCAGAGAAGGACCACGAGGAGGAGCAGGCTGAAGAGGAGGAGGAGGAGGAGGAGGAGCAGGCGGAAGAAGAGGAGGAGGAGGAGGACTGAGGAGGAAGAGGAGGACCGTTGCGCTGGGCCCCTCCGACCCCTCCTGGAGCCTCGCGACGCCTGCGCGCGGCGACCGTGGGCGGGGGGCGAGCAGAGCGAGTGACGACGGCGCCGCGGCGCACCCTCTGCTGCTTCGGGGTCCTCCCGCGGCGCGGGGGCCGCGGGGCCCCGCTTCCCACCGAGGGCCCCGCAGCGGCTGCGGGCCCGTGGGGGCGGCGAGGGGCGCCGCCCCTCCCGCTCGCCCCGGCGGCCCAGGCCGCCGCGGAGGGCTCGCCCCCCCCCCCCCCTTCCCTCTCTTCTTTGTTTCTCTCCCTGCGTGTACAACAGTTGCAAGGGTTCCATTGGCTCCCATCATCAACGCTCCAGAAATAGCGTTTTGGAAGGATTTTGGATTATGCGGTTGCAACCGTTACGTTGGTTCGCTGTGTTGACGTCCTAGGAATGGCGTTCTGGCACGATTCAGGATCGCCAAGACGCAACAGTCAGGTTGATCCGTGGTGTTGGAATCTCGAGAACAATGTTTTGCATGCTTCAGGGTCTTCGAACAGGTGTCTTCCAACGAGGCAGTTCCATCAATGGAAATGAACAGCTGCGGTGGCATATAAAGAGGGAGCTTGGAGGGAGGGTTTACTCCAACATCGTTGAAGATTCTTGGGCTCACACTGGTCCTCCTCCTTTTCCTCCTCTTCCTCCTCCTGTTCATCCTCCTTCCCCTCCTCCTCCTCGTTCTTCCTCCTCCTCCTCCTCCTCCTCATCATCATCATCATCATCATCAGTCTCCCCCATCCTCCTCCTCCTTCTCCTCCTCCTTCTCCTGCTCCTTCTCCCTCCTCCTCCTCCTCTTTTTCCTCCCCCTCTTCCTCCTTCTCCTCCTTTTCCTCCTCCTCTTCCCTTCTCCTCCTCCTCCTCACCCCTCCTCCTCTTCCTCCTCCTCCTCCTCCTCCTCCTCCTCCTCGTCCTCCTCCTCCTCCTCCTCCTCCTCCTCCTCCTCCTCCTCCCCCTCTGTTCCTTCCCCTTATAACTAATTCCTGCCTGTCACACTCCGAGGCCGGTCGACGGGGCGGATGGGGCGTTTCCAACAATGGCCTTGTAACTTAAATCATGGCAGCAGCTGCACATATGGAGGTCGGGTGGTTTGCAAACTGTGGCTTTCGCCTTAGAGCCGCGCACCCTCGTTTTAAACAGTTCCTAGAGTTTCGCGGATTGAGAGCGGCTGGTGTTCAACATGTCGTGCACATGCGTCTTAAACATGTGCAAGAGCTTCACGGATTGAGGGTGGTGGTTTCCCAACATGTTGTTCTCGCCTTAGCGCCTCGCGCACTCGTCTGAACCACTTGCAAGAGCTTGACGGATTTAGGGTGGGTGGTTTTCAAAAGGTGGTGTTCTTTTTAGCGCCGCGCACACTCGTCTGAAACAGTTGCACGAGTTTCACGGGTTCCCGTGGTTAACGGAGCAGAAGCGGTGTTTGAGAACTGCTCAGGGTTGCCAGGGCGCAACAGTTACGCGGATTCGCGGTGTTGACGTCCAAGGGATGGTGTCCTGGCGCGATGTAGGATCGTCAAGGCGCAACAGTCAGGTTCATTCGTGGCCTCGAAGTCCCGAGAATGATGCTTTGGCACGCTTCAGGATCTTCAAACGGTTGTGTCCCAACGGGGCACTTTTCCTTCAGTGGAAGTGAACTCTTGCGGGTGCATGTGAAGAGGGGGTTTGGTGGGAGAAGTGATTCCAACATCGATGAGGAGTCTTGGGTTTACACTGGTCCTCCTCCTGCTCCTCCTCCTCCTCCTCCTCCTCCTCCTCCTCCTCCTCCTCCTCCTCCTCCCCCTCCCCCTCCCTCCTCCTCCCTCCTTCTCCCCCCTCCTCCCCCTTCCTCCTCCTCCTCCTCCTCCTGTCTCCGTCATCCCTGTTCGCTTCTTCTCCCCTCCTGCCGAAAGCCCCCCCCCTCCGGCCCAAACCTCCCAAGAGAGCGGGCGCCTGTTCTTCGAAGCCCCGTGATCAGCTGCTGCCGTAGCGGGCCCCCTCCCCCAGGGAGGAAGCCGCCGCAATGAAGACAGCTGCGCCCTCAGAGGGCCCCGATCCGTCGTCGTTATCGCCGCTGACGCCGCCGCCGCCGTCGCCGCCGTCGTCGTCGTCGTCGTCGTCGTCGTCGTCGTCTCGTCGTCGTCGTCGTTGTTGTCGTCGTCGTCGTTGTTGTCGTCTTCGTCGTCGTTATCCTGGATGTCGCCGCCGCCCTCGTCGTCGTCAAGATGTGGAGGATGTAGAGGACGTGGAGGATGAACATGACGTGGATGCAGAGAAGGAGTAGTAAATAGAGGAGGAGGAGGAGGAGGAGGAGGAGGAGGCCTGGCTACGGGCCCGGAGAGGAGGAGAAGGAGGAGGAGGAGGAGGTGGAGGAGGAGGAGGAGGGACCAGTGTAAGTTTAAGGGTCACCAGCGATGCTGGAGTAAACCGTCCCTCCAAGCTCCCTCTTCATAGGCCACTACAAAGATTCTCCCACTGAGGGAACTGCCCCTTTGTAATACAACCGCTTGAAGACCCTGAAGCATGCAAAAACACTATTATCGGGATTCCAACGCAACGGATCAACCTGACTGTTGCGTCTTGACGATCCTGAATCGTGCCAGAACGCCACTTCTGGGACTTAAGAACAGCGAATCAACGTAACGGTTGCAACCCCATAATCCTGAACCCTTGTAAAACACTATTTCTGGTACGTTCATGGTGGGAATCCGTGAAGCTCTTGCGAATATCTAAAAACGAATGTTCGCGGCGCGAAGGCGAGAGCCACATTTTGAAAAGGAGCCGCCTTCAATCCGTGAAACTCGTGCAATTTTTAGAAACGAATGTGCGCCGCTCTACGGCGAGAGGCACAGTTTGAGAACCACTCTGCCTCAATCCGTGAAACTTTTGCGAATGTTTAAAGCGAGTGTGCGCGGCGCCCAGGCGCGAGCTTCATTTTGAAAACGACCCGCCCTCAATCCGTGAAGCTCTTGCAAATGTTTAAAGCGAATGTGCGCCGCGCTGAGGCGAGAGCCACATTTTGAAAAATACCCGCCCTGCATATGTGAAACAGTTGCCAGTCTGTAAGCTTCAGAATCATAAGTGGTGAGGAAATCTCAGGCGAAACGCCGGGCCCGCCCTAATAATTGGCCTCGGGGTGCGGCAGGGGGAAGTTGCTTACAAGGAAAAGTAATGGAGCACCAGTACAAGGATGCGGATGAGGAGAAGGATGCAGAGGATGTATGGGAGGGGGGGGGGGCGTGGGGAGGAGGAGGGGAAGTGGAGGCGGAGGACGACGAGGACGAGCCCATCGAGGCTCGATCGGCCTGCATACCCGGCCGACCCGTCGATCGATCGTCACCGGGGCTGCGGTCTCGGGAGGCTTCCCGAAGGCCTGGGCGGGCCGGGTGTTGCTGGAAGTGCCCCTGGTCCAGGATGCCCCCAGCTTCCCGCTCCCTTTTGGAGCCCCTTGGGGCCCTCTGGGCCTCGTGATGGGGTACCCTGGAGGCCGTCTGGGCCAGCCCGAGAATCCTGGGGGCACCCTGGGCCAGAGGGCACTTCCGGCAGCACGTCGACCAGGGTCGACAGGCGCCGAGGAGCCCCGATCTTCGGGCCTCGATCCGGATACGGCCTCCAGGCCGCGGACAGGCAACCCCCATCCAGGTAGTCCCGGCTGGTTGCAAACAGGGGAGGAGGAGGAGGAGGAGGAGGAGGAGGAGGAGGAGGAGCAGGAGGAGGAGGCGGTGGAGGAGGAGGAGGAGGAGGCGGAGGGGGAGGAGGAGGAGGATAGCAGAGGAGGAGGAGGAGGGGGAGGAGGAGGGGAGGAGGAGGAGGAGGAGGAGAGGAGGAGGGAGGAGGAGGAGGAGGAGGAGGATAGCAGGAGGAGGAGGAGGAGGAGGAGGAGGAGGAGGAGGAGGAGGAGGAGGAGGAGGAGGGGGAGGGGGAGGAGGAGGAGGATAGCAGAGGAGGAGGAGGAGGAGGAGGAGGAGGAGGAGGGGGAGGAGGAGGAGGAGGAGGAGGAGGCGGAGGAGGAGGAGGAGTCTCGGCACACCGACCTCGGAGCGCGGAGCCCCCCGGGGGCACCACCAGAGGGGCGGCGCCGGGGTGTTCAAAGACCGCCCGTGGACTGCACGCGCGCAGTCCGAAGCTTGGCCACCAGATCCTGCATTTTTATCGGGGGAGCGTAAGATCCGGGTTTGCCAGGACTCGGGTTTGCCATCGTTTTTTGACGAGAGCGCCTCGGATTTTGACGAGGAGGAGTTTCGTGGGATGTCTGCAGCGGGAGGCCTCGTCAAAATGCAGGCTCGGCCTCGTCATTTTTTTGACGACCTCGTCGGGGATTTCCGAGTCCCCTGTACCCGGGTCTTACGTCCCCCTGATTTTAGGGGAACAAGAAGTGGCATGAAGATGTCCTCCAAAATTAGGGGCAGAGCAAAGGGCAGAAAGATGTCCTCCAGGAAGTGGCAGAGCAAGGGGCAGAACAAAAAGTGGCATAAAGATGTCCTCCAAGAAGTGATCCGAGCAAAGGGCAGAAAGATGTCCTCCAAAATTAGGGAAACAAAAAGTGGCATAAACATAAGAACTCTGAGGTCCGCGCGGATTTCTCGGACCGGCGCTGGGGCCCCGCGCGGATTTCTTGGATCAAGGGCGGGCGCTGTCCGACCATACCCGTCGGTCGTGAAAAAAGCAAGTGTTTCTGGACTCCCAGCGCCCAGTTTCTACTTCCAGCGCCTTTAGGGGAGCAAAAAGTGGCATAAACATAACAACTCGGAGGTCCGCGCAGATTTCTCGGACCGGCGCCGGGGCCCCCCGGCGGCGCCTCCGGCGCCGCCCTTGGCGCGCTCCGCGCGCCAGGGAGGGGGGTCCAGCGCCGACCCGAGAGATCCGCGCGGACCTCAGAGTTCTTATGTATATGCCACTTTTTGTTCCCCTAATTTTGGAGGACATCTTTCTGCCCTTTGCTCGGGTCACTGCAGGCACACCTTAGTCGATCAGGAGGGCGAGGAAGACGAGGGAGGACTGAACGATGAGAAGGAGGATAAAAGGGGATGAGGGGGAGTATGGTGAGGTGGCGAGGAGGAGGATGTTCCCCGCCCTGAGCTCTCTAGAGCGTACATGACCCCCAAGACGCGCCCCGAAATCTATCGAGCATCCTGAACGTATCATTATCCTTCTCGCTCGTCTGTCCTCTGGCCCGATCCGAAGAAAAACAAACTATGAGTAATATGCACTTTCGAAGGCCCGCGCGGATTTCTTGGATCTGCGCTGGAACCCAGAATGAGGACAAGGAGGATGAGGAGGAGTATGAGGGGTAGTTTCCCCCCGAGCCCTCCAGGAATTACATGACTCCGAAGACGCGCCCCGCAACCCTTCTTGAGCACCCTGAAATGGTTATACAGTGCCGTTTTTAATCCATGCTCCGCGTGCGGATCATGTATTACAAATGCAGGAATTTAGCATGACAACCAACGATGGGTTCATGCATACAAGCATACATAAAGTAAGCATGTATTAAACATCCGGTATTAAACATCCGGTATGTTTAAAAATCCGATGTATTAAAAATTGCCCTGTACTTTGCCTCGCTCTTTTGGCCCCTGGCCCGAGCCGACGAAGAACGGACCACAAAACATTTGGAAGCCACGCGCGGATTTCTTGGATCTGCGCTGGACCCCCTGTGGCCGCGCCTCCAGCGCCACCCCCCGGCGCCCTCCGCGCCCCGGCGAGGGCGGACCTCTGGAAGTTTGTGCCCATGCCCGCCTTCTCGGGCCGGACGAAAGGGGGGGATTGGGAAAGGGGGGGTTACAAAATTTGCTGCATGCAGCTGGTTTCGGCCTCGCCGAGGGGTCCATTCCTCGATACATAGCCGCCTACGGCGCCGGGAGGCGCCGGGAAAATCAGCTACGTGAGCTGATTTTCACCCCCCCCCCTTTGCTATCCCCCCCTTTCGCCCGACCCGATCTTCGGGCGTTGCGCAGCGGGATGGCGATGAAAATCATGGGACACGCAATTGTGGCTCATTGAGTGCGTGCTTTTGAAGAAAATTGCGCTTCCCATGATGCGTGGGGGGTGAAGGAAGGTGCACCTTCCGTGCACCTTGGGGGCCCCGACGAGGCCCGAAGAGTGCACAACGGGTGCACGCATCTTCGCCCCCACCCGTTCCTCGCCCCGCCAGGGTTTTCGCCCCCACCCGTCCTCCAGCTTCTTCCAGCTCACCACTCCCACCTCCAGCATCCAGCATTCCGACTTCCACTTCCACCTCCACCCGTCGACCTCCAGCGTCCAGCAGCGCAGCACTCCGACCTCCACCCTCCAGCTGCATGTGACTTTCCACCTCCACCTCCACACGTCGACCTCCCGCGCCCAGCAGCTCCGCCCTCCGGCGTCGCGAGATGCTGGCGTGATGGGCGCGGAAATCTGCGGTCCAGCTCATTGTGCTACAGGCGTTGAACTGCGGGATAGTCACCACCCACCAAACCACCCCAACCCAACCCGAAGGCCCAAATTTATCCTCGATTTCCAGTGGGGGGGGGTCGGGGAACGTTGAAAAAACACATGGTATCCGTACCCCCCCCCCCCCCACCCGAAATTCGGGTCAAATTCGGGTCTTCGGGTTGGGTTGGGGTGGTCTGGTAGGTAGTCAGATAGGAACCAGGGCTATGTTTCTATCATGTTTTGTCAGATGCTGTGCTCGTTTGTGCTCGTTCCATTATGTGCCGCTGTTGGGCAGCTCTGCCGCTATATAGAGCCCCTGACCGGTACGACTAGCCCCCATGAGGGGAAGCGGATTCCAAACAGAGTGTTGTTGGGGAAACGTTTCAACGCCAGACGCCTTCGTTTCATCTTCGGCGGGCTGGTGGATCCGGGGCATGCGGCCTTCCAGTCAAGCGGTTGCGTGATGGAGAAGGAAAACAAAAACTCGACTTCCACCTGCCGACCACCCAGCACTCCGACTCCCGCATCCGGCCTCCGACTCTCCACTTCCACCTGCACCGCTTGACCTCCGGCGTCCACCAGCTCACAACTCAGCACCCCGGCCTCGGCAACCACGGA